CCCCTGCGACCCCGCGCGGCCGGCGAGCCCCGTGCCGCGTCACCGCCCCCCGCGCGCATGCACCGGACTCCGTGCGGCGCGAGACGGTCCCGGCTTAAAGGGGCTACGTGAATGGTGCCCGCTCGGTCCGGAGCCAGACGCGAGTACGAACGTGGTGTCAGACTCAAATCCAGACTCTAACCTGGATCTGGACCCAGTCCCAGACATAGACCCAGGCCCAGACCCAAACCTACACCCAGGCTCTAATCTGCATCTAGACTCACACCCAGTCCCCCACCCAAACCGAGATCCAGACCCAAATTTAAACCCAGGCCCAACCCAAGACCAAATCCCAAAGCCAGACCCAAACCTACACTTAGATTCAGACGCCATCCCAAATCCAGATCCAGACCCTAGCCTGGACCCAGACCCAGACCCGAACCTGAACCCAAACCCATGGTGGTGGCAGGGCTGGCTGTGGTGGCACCCAAGCACAGCCCTTGTACCAGGCTCCCTGTTGCAAAGCCCGTTCTTACAGGCACTGGCTATGCTGTGGTGGCCACTGGCATCCCAATGTGGCCCTGGGCCACCTGCCCTGTGCCCCTCACACCCTGACACCACCTGGTGCACCCACCTTGCTCCACCCAGGAAATATTTAATCCCCACATCCCAGCCCTTGCTTTCCACTACAGGAGGAAGCTGCCATCGTTCACCCCCCTTAATCAAACTTCCCCCTCGCTGCCATCTTTCACAAGAGACCCTTGCCCAATCCACTCTTGAATATACCAAGGAGAAATGCCTTTCCTGCCGCCATGCCACCGGGCTGCTCCCTGGCGTCTGCTCTGCCCAGCTGTGGAGGAGGATGTTGAAATATGTCTGTGAAGTGTGTCTCCTTTATTGGTGAAAAACACAAACTCATTCAAAACACAAATAGGGGATAAAAGGGCATTTAGTGATGAGGGGTGCCCAGAGGCTGTGGAGGCCTCAGCCCCTCAGGAGCCAGTGGAGTGGGGCTGGGTCATTGGGACACCTTGGGCTCGCCATGACAGTGGGTGAAGATGGGTGCTGAGCTGCGCCGATCCATCTGGCAGCTCCCTGAAGCTTGTAGCTGCCTGAATCCCCCGGTCTGGTGCTGAGCCCCAGCTGCACAGGAGCTGGCGAAGATAAAGTATTGGCTAGCTGGTGGGGGGCTGAGGCCTCACAGGATCTTCCTCCAGGTGCTCTCAGTACCGCGGTTCAGGATGAGGACTTTGCTGGGACGGGGAGGAACAGCAGGTTGAGCTTTGGGCTTGATCTCCTCTTGCTCGTTTTTCTCAACTGTAAGTAAAGCAGATGGACAGATGGGTCAGAGGTCTCCACCACCCACCACCTTCATATGAATGCTCAAAAGCTTCTTATCTAATGGCCAACAAAACTTCTGTCTCTCCTCCTGTCTCAGCCACATGTGACGGTCTTCTCGGAGGTCAGGGTGGTGGCATGAGCCTGAGAGCTCTGCTCAGGTGGGAGCCCAGCTCTAGGTCTGTGCAAGGAGCTGCTCTCCCTTGTAAAAGTCATGGGTCCTGCACAGGGATTACCAGATATCAAGCATCTACCTCAATAGTAGCCTTCCTCTTGATGCACTGCCCTTGTCTAGGTGCTTTGCTGACAGCTAACGTACATGATAATTATAATGGTAATGATAATGATAAAACAGTAGCATGAGTGAGGTTAGGTGCATGGAAGAAAGCACAGGGCCTAAATGTGGACTGATCTCCCACCAGGACCTGCTCCTTCTCTGTCAGACCTATAACCAGAGATAAGAAAACTCATTGAAAACAAAAATTTCCCTGCGCACCCTTGCCCCATAGGGGAGGGGTGGACAGGAAAGGTTGTGACCTCCATGTGCTCCAGCAACCAGCATTGGAGGGCACAGGCCATGCCTGCAGGACTCCAGCCTGGGGCAAAGGCCCTGCTGTGACTTACTTATGACATTGGCCTTGTTCTGGAAATTTGCCCTCATGTTCCTCTGGCTCTGGATGTACTTCCTGCTGTTCCTCCTGTAGGTCTCCTGACTGATCAGCTTCCGGCTTTGCTTGTGGATGCTCTTCGCATTTCGGACGGTGGATCTGCAGTGAGTCAGAGACAAAACTTTCAGTTTCCATGCCAGCCGCTCTCACACCTCACGCTTTCTTACTGACGATTTTCCCCAGCTTCCTCCTCAGCCTCACCCAAACCTCAATATCTGCTTTTTGGTTTTGCCTGGTGGATGCAGCCCTCGAGGGCAGCCATAGGTGAGATACGATGTACAGTACATGAGGAGGCAGCTGGAGCGGTGCTTTGGAGGCAAAGACTGAAGGGTGAAGCCTGAGCACAAGCCTGGAAGGTAAAGATGGGGATGGCAAGGCAGATCAGGCATTAGGCTGCCAGGACAAGATGGGCATGAGGTTTATCCATGAAAGCCCTGGAACTGATCTATAGCTTTTGGATGGATGGACATACAGCATCTATGCTGCCTAAACACTGAGATTCCTGGTGTGGGGTTTGGCAGGACTCCCTAGTGCCCAAGTCTCAGTCCCTGGGCCAGGGGAGTCCATGTCAGCATGGCCCTGGACGTGCGGTGTTGAACCCACAGCAGAGAAATTCCTGAGAGAAGCGAAAGGCTGAGTGCCTGGGGCTGTGCAGTGGCATTGCTGCCGCAGAGGAATTCCTAGCACCAGAGATCATCCCCAAGCAGACGAGGCCACCACTTTGTCTGCGCTACCAGGCCATGAGCGAGGTGGCTCCTGACACCCATCCCACAGCATTGCTCTCCTGCTCTGCTCAAGGCCACCTTGCCTCCCTCAAGGGTATCAGTGAGAGCCACTGTGCTCAAATAGGTGGATTTGGGCCATTTTCACTGCTCATGCTCAATTCGTGCTTCAGCAGAGTTGGATTTTTTGAGAGCTTTTATAGCAAGGCTACTGTGTTTTCTTGTAGGGAAGAAAAGACATAGGCAAGCTCTGCTCTTCCTAGCAGTTTTCTTTGCATCAGAATTAATGAGTTATTATTGCTTTTTATCTTCTTAATCAAAATAAAATCCCTTCCATTAGTGCAAATCCTCCCATCAGATTAGGCCATGTGGCAGCTCTGATTACTCGAATCTCTCCGCGCTTCTCAAAGATTCAGTGGGTGCACTCAGGAAATAAGAAAAAGGCCAATTTGAAAATTAACTGAGATTAGCCCAGAAAAGAAACTTTGCAGAAGGACAAGGAGAAATAGTCCTTGCTGCAGGCCCTGCCGGAGCAGGGATCGTGCGGCTCCACATCAGAAATGCCAGGGCGCCTCTTGGCCTGGGAGGAGCAGTCGGGGAGCACAGAGCTATTTTTGCTGCAGCCCCACAGGATCTGCCCCCAGGTCTGCCTTTGCCCTGCTCACATCTGACTCAGGCAGTTCCTCATTGCTAGGGCGAGCAAGGGACACCACAAACCACTGTCTGGTTTCATTTAACCCCACCTCAAAGAAGAACTTTAGTCCTCCTCCCCCTGACCCAAGGCTTCTCCTACCTCCGCGGAGGAGCACTCCGGTTCCTCAGCTCACTCTTCATGGAGGTGTTCGCCTCCCCGGCTTTCTGCAGGTACATGGAGGGGTAATAGCCCGTGGTTTCAGCCTTCCTGCAGTGCAACACAAAGCAACGTTGCTTGCAGTGGTGGCTCTGTGACCACCACCTCCTCCTCATGCCTGTCTGCCGCTGGTGCGGGGTGGGAAGTTTCTCATGTGGCCTGTGGCAAGAGGGGCTTTGACTGTCCCCCCACCTTGTGTGTCTATGGCTCTCCCTGAAAGTGGGGCTTGAGTCTCAAAAGCAAGTAGGTAGCAAGGCTCACAGCTTTCAGGGTCTCATCAGCTCATATTACCCCTAGAAGCAGCCCTGCAAAAGGAAATGCTGGGCAACAGCACCAAACGGTCCATGGCTCTCACAGCCCCAACACGGAGAACCGCTGGTTCATCCCTTCCCTCTGCCCCAATCCCACTTGCCTGATTTGTTCTTGGCATCTCTCACCTGATGACCCACCAGCCATCCAGGAGCTTGTGGATGACTTCAATGGTGTCACCTTCCTCGAGGGTCAGCTCGTCCTCCTCCATGGCTGTGTAGCTTTTCTGGACAACATATTGCTCACCTGCACACAGAATTGGGACAGCGGGTTGTGTGCTACCACCCTAGGGATGTGGCTTGTCCCCTCTAACTACGAAGGAGAGGAGGCATCAGGGCATCTGCCCCATGTTTAGGCAAGACCCAGGGTGCTTCAGGTCCCCACATTGGGAGTCAGACTTGCCCCAGCCTTGTCAGGGCCTGTGGCTCATCCCAGCACCTCTCCAGGAGAAAGCTGGTGAATGCAGGAGTGGATGCACACCCATCTCTGCCGCAGAGCACGTTTATGATTTAAGTGATTAAATGAGGAGGAAGGAAGTGTTGTGCTAATAGAATCTGTTGCAGTGTTTTGACAACCACAAAGATGAAGCCTGGAGAGCAACCAGCATGTGTCTGCCCATCAGGATCCTCCTCTGCTCCAGGCCAAAAGGCCAGGCAGTCGTGTTGGGGTGATGTGAGGGACTGATCAGGACAGTGCAGGATCCAAGCATCAGGGAAAGCCTGCACCTCGGTTCGGCTGCTGCACCATGGTCCTTTGCCAACCCAGAGACCCAGCATGGCCCCAGCTAGCTCAGGATGGCCACTGGATGACGATGTGCAGCTGTGATCAGCCGAAACAAGCATCTGATGCTGAGCTGCAGGTCACAGGAAGCTCCTGAGGTCAAGCAAGCTGCTGAGCCACGAGATTCATCCCTACTGGCAGCTCCTACAGCACCATCTCCCTACCCAGAGGCCCTGATCAGCATGGGCTGCCTGAGAGGGGCTTGCAATGAAACACAGAATCACAGAGAATCATTAAGGTTGGAAGAGACCTCCA